GTCTGTCTGTCTGTCTGTCTGTCTGTCTGTCTGTCTGTCTGTCTGTCACCTTCAACTGGGCAAAACGGAACATTGCAGTGCATCAATTTTTGAGCCAGGATCACCCCAAAGGGCTAACCCACCGAAGGCATCCAAACTCTGGGACCCACGACTCCAGCGGTATTGAAATTTGGCAAAATTGTGGCTGATTCGGTGGCAATGCACCCTAGTGGTCAGCCGTGACTATCATTTCCGATGACTTCACTGGAGGCCGGGCTGGTAAATGGCTGCTATGGGGGGGAGGGGAGGGGTGAAGGGGGTGGGAGGGGAGCATTGTCCTCCCTAGCAATTGAGACCTAGATAAGCAGGGATTAATACCAGAGAAACCATCAAGTGGAAACCAACCCAGATAAGCAGAAATTAACCCCAGACAAACCCATCTAGCGGAAAACAATTCCTTGATCAAAGCACTACCAAGAAGGAAACCACAACGCCACCAACACTGCCAGGGCCAACTACGGCATATAAACAGGTAGCAAACATCCCACTACTCACACTGGTGCTGTTACCCAGTTGGGTAATGAAACATTGGCAAGAAAACCACCAGGCTCAGGGAGCACCGAGACTCAGAGCTGCAGAGAGTCACTTTTCTTGAAAGGTAATTGCCTCCCTCACTCGCCCAGCCATTTGTCACCGGTTAGGGCTTCAATTGCTCCTCTGTAAGTACTTTTGCATTGGGAAGTTGAGTAATTGGACAATTAGGACGCCAGAGGGGGGGGGCAGCAGGGAAGGGTCTCTGGGGACCTAGCAGGAGTGGAACATCCCACCCTTTAGGGTCTGTCCTAAATCCCTCGGCTCTTTGGATCTTCCTCTACGGGATTCTCCACCTAATTTTAATTATTTATGGTGGGGGGCAATTGGTTCCTTACGTTGCTGGAGTGTCCGAAGGGTTTTAACCCCAAAGTCAAGATTATGGTCACAATTCTGGGCCTGAACCTTCGACTTACAACACTTTGTTTAGTGACTCTTCCAAGTTGTAAAGCACTGAAAAAAGTGACTTATGAGCGCTATGACTATTGCGCCCTTCCATGGCCAGGTGGTCCAGATTCACCCGCTTAGTAACTGGCTCATATTTATGACGGTTGCCGTGTCCCAGGGTCACCTGATCTTTTTTTTGCACCCATCTGAAGAGCAAATTCAATGGGGCAGCCAGATTCACCTCCCAATCGTGTCACTGACGCCTGCAGTGATTCACTTAACTTATGGCCAAAAAGGTCGTAAAACGGGGCAAAACTCACTTAACCAATATCGCTTAGCAACATCAGTTTTGGGCTCCATTGAAGTCTAGATTCAATTACAAAATTTCGGCCATCGCCTTCACTTTTAGACCCCCAAACACGGCTTGGCCACACGGAGACCCTTTCGAGGTGTAAAACCTCCGCTCCCACAGCCTCCGGAGTCTCCTGGAGC